AAATCTATTTCGACGGATATCTTTAAAACTCAACAAGTTCTTCTTGGACTTGGAGGAGAACATTGCATTCTCTATGATAAGTATTGTTCCCTTAGGCAGAGTTATAGTACCTCTTCAAGTGCCTTCAATTAATTTTGTACTACCATATATTCATCAACATCTATATGGTGAATATCTCTTTTAAAGAAAAAATTATACCATTATGGTCATGGTCAAAATTAGATGCAAGATCTGTTTCTTGCATTATTATTGTCCTTTAATAATCACATTGCCAAAATATTTTGGCGTACAATAGGTACGTGACCAATGACCATTCATGCCATAATAATGACATTATTTTCTTATTTCATCTCAAACCCCCCTTCTCGAGGTGAGTGTGGTATATTTACTACCACTAGCACGTTCATATTCTTGCAAGAATAAATATGTATTCATAATGATTATCACATTGTTTTCACATTCACTTCAGGAATGGAACGTAATAATCCATGAGTGCTTTATAAAATCTCATGCCATATCAATGGTAAACATCACTTTCACAAAGTAAAGAATTATTTTGAGAGCCATTATTGTTCTCATTACTATAATGATGACGATTATAATTTCGTCCACTACCACGTCCACATCCATTCATACCTCCACGGTAACATCATGTCTTATTTTAGACTTATGGGACGGGTTTCCACTATTGGTGGCAATTAAATTTAATTTGCATATGCGAACTTTCATTAACTGAACTCAATCAAATAAAAAGTATCAAGCAAATATAGAAAAATACATAATCAATTAAAATCTATGTGTCCTTTGTGATAATTATCCCACTTTAAGATGGAAGAGATATGTGATAAAATAGAAAGAAAAAATATGTGCTCTCTCAAAAGTCTTCACTTCGTGTTTCTTAATATTAAAACATAGGAACATAATACTTGTTATAGGAAAAATATTTATCGTTCTTTACACTAAAAATTCTTACATGATTTGATTAACTTTCAAGAAAAACTTTTCTTGTTCATGAATGAAAACATAAATAGCAAAGTGTAAAGAAACTTGAAAATTAATTAGAAAAGGCTAACCGTGATGGCCGAATATATGATGGCGTTGTACACCTTATACCGTCATCGTTCTTACCATATTATTAACATTAAATGACGCTACCGGTACTGGCCGCATCATAACAACTCAGTTGGCTAGAACTTCGTGCTGATAACGTGTTATAAAATATAACTCAAAGTAACAATATGGAACAAGAAAAAAATAAGCTAAGAGATATATGGAGAAAGATAGAAGAGATTCTTATTTCTTCTTCAAATGTGTGTATTTTCCTATCTATTACAAGGCCTTTATATAGGCATAAAAAAGTGAAGAAAATATGTCATTGAATATGTCATTAAGCATTTGAGATGAAGATCATGGAGGAAGAGTAAACATCCCCCATAATTTGATATTTCTTATAACATTTTGCAAATTATAAAAGTGAACAAATGATGTACTAGTCTATTAAAATAAGACATAATTTTTATTATAAATATCAGTATTTTAAAAGGCGTGGGCGTAAGGCGAGNGGAGGAACAAAAATGATGACTAACCTTCAATTTGAACTTTGAACTTGCTGCTACGAAGGAGAATAAAGTTCTCTTTGTATTTGTAAAAAAAAAAATTAAATATTCGTTGCTTTTGGGAGATATTAGCAGACTAGCGAACTAGATAAAGAATTGAAAAAGACCATGAATTGGGGCTTCAATCAATAAAAAAGGTCTTGACTTTTAAATTTAATACATTTTAGTTCCTTTTTAAAACTTTTGAGTAATTACCAAGCTGAATTTTGAAAAATTGGGTATTATATGAAGGACTTATTCAACAAATTTTGTTTTAATTTGAAAAACATCTCTGAGGCTTACGCCTCACTAAAAAAAACTCACCTCGAACGCCCGGGCGTACGTCCTGAATTGTTGGGCGTATGACTCTCGAGACTTTCGCCCCACACCATCGCCCCAGAGTGTTTTTGGTGCGCCTCGCCCCGAAATGCCTTTTAAAACACTGATAAATATGAGTATATATGTAACTCTAAAATATTGTATTGGGTAATAGCATGCGCTTACTCTTTATAAGACTTATCAAGTTATTAAAATTAAGATTTTATCATAAAATATAGTAAATAAAAAATTATCATCCCAATATAATGTTGACTCCATCCGAGTCAAAATACGTTTTAAATCCAAGCAAAAATAAATTTCCATCGCATTATTCTTTTGTTTATTAAAAGTCAAGATGCATCATTATCTCATATTGAGCTACTCCTAAATAAATATATGTTTACAAATAAATCACTTTATGATCTTTATCACGAGTAACAAGTAGGAAGGAGTTGAAGATTTTAATGATGATGATGAACATTAACAAATTAAGTTAGAAAAATACTAAATAAAGAAGTTTTTAGATTTATTTAATTATAATATAGTCTTATCATTTTGAATTATATCATATTTTCAGATTGTTTGTTGAACAAACTATATCACTATGATATTTGAATTTTATCCAAAAGTTATGCGATGATTATATGATTCGTTTAATTTAATTACATAAAATTTTATTATTGGTACGTGCATTAAGATAAGACAACATTTATGATTTTGTTAAAATATATAATTAACGTGCTCAAACAAATCATATCATATAAACTTTGATATATTTAATATTTTTTAATAATGTCCGCACAGGGGTACTAATACTAGTAAATAATAAAAAGAGGTTTATATGCGCCAACGTAATTAGTGACATATCATTGCGACAAAGTAATATGTGCAAGTTTACAAATTCAATAATGATAATGAAAATAACCCCTTTTTTCCGTATAATATTTTAAACTTTCTAGTGTCAAATAAAACAAACAACACCAAATAGATCTTGCAGAAGAGGCCAATAAGAACAAGAACCCAGAAAACCCAAAGATAAAATCTCATACAATCTTGTTACTCTACTCCACTCACTAACATTGTCAGTTTATCAATTAGTATATCATCTTTCTCATCTCAATCTTAGCCACCTGTGTGGAATCCATGGCCGCCCACACAATCTTCACCACCACCACCGGCACTGCCAATTCTTTGTTATTACCAATTACTGCCCCTAACACCAACTCCTCCCCTTCACTCCACTCTTCTTTCCACGGTGTTTCCCTCAATCTCAAGTCAAAGACTCCCCAATCTTTGACATTTTCTGCTGCCACTGCTCCTAAACGTCTCACTGTTTTTGCTGCTACTAAGAAAGCTGTTGCTGTTCTTAAGGGCAATTCCAATGTTGAGGGCGTTGTCACTCTATCCCAAGATGATGATGGTTGTTTACTTTTCCACCCTCTATGCTCTTATTTGCTTTTTGTTGTCTCATTTGTGGATTTTGACCTAAAGACATAGACTTTGCTGTTTATTTTTCCACCCTTTATGCTCTAATTTGCTTTTCTGTTGTCTCACATTTGTGGATTGTGACTTAAAGATGTAATCTTTATTACGAATGTTTTATACCCTTTTAAGTGAATCTGCTTATTTTTCCACCCTTTATGCTCTAATTTGCTTTACTATTGTCATATTTCTGGAATTTGACCTACCGATGTGAGCCTTTATTTCATACCCTTTTATTTGTTTATTTTTCCACCCTTTTTGCTCTAATTTGCTTGTATGTTGTTATATTTGTGGATTATGATCTAAAGATGTAAGCTTTTCTACAAACACAAACACTTCATACCCATTTCTCTATATCTGAATATAGAGAATTTCCAATACTTCTGTTTGTAATATTGGCATGAGATTAGTATAAAGGGAGTAACATGGTCAATGAGGATCCATAAAGCCGACCCTTTCTTATTTGGGACTGAGGCGCAGTAGTTGTTGTTGTTTATCCTCATTTGGTTTTGTATTACCATATTCATTGTTTGTGACTTAAAGGTGTAGGCTTTTATACGAATATTTCATACCCTTTATCTGAATACTTATTTGTTTATTCTCTCCTTGTATAGGTCCAACCACTGTGAAAGTTCGCATAACTGGACTTACACCTGGACTTCATGGATTTCATTTAGTGAGTACATTTTATCATTTGAATGTTATGGCATTGTTATAAGGTCTTTGTTGTAATTTTTAATGAATTATGGTTAACGTTGTGTTTTGGTTTGCTTTGTTTTGTGTTGTAGCACGAGTTCGGTGACACTACAAACGGGTGTATGTCTACAGGTTAGCTTTTGATCTAGTTTTCAGTTTTGACTTAATTGAGATGCTGGTTAATTGCTACTCTTGTAGTGACTAATTGGAAATATCTTTACTTCTAGTTTTGTGGTAGTAGTTTGAAGTTTCGTCCCACTGTTTTACTTTAGGACCCCATTTCAATCCTGATGGCAAGACACATGGAGCTCCTGAAGATGAAATCCGTCATGCGGGTGACCTGGGAAACATAGTGGCCAATGCCAATGGTAAAAAAAAACATGTTCTCGATTTCTTCTTAGTGCTTTTGACAATATTTTGTTTGTTAAGATCGATGATGATTTTCTGTATTCTTAATTGTGCTTACTGTATGCAGGTGTGGCTGAAGCAACATTTGTAGATAATCAGGTTTTTACCTCCAACCTTGTTTGGTCATTTGAGTGCTCACACAATTTTGTGCTCGACATTTATTATTGTTATAGGTTTGGGATAATTTAGTGACTCTATCTTTTTGTACATCAAACAGATACCTTTGACTGGTCCAAACTCAGTTGTTGGAAGAGCACTTGTCGTTCATGAGCTTGAGGATGACCTTGGAAAGGGTAAGGTTCTACATTACAATCTGAAGTCTTTTGGTCCTTTTTATCTGTGGATTTGAAAAGGTATCCATGTGAGCATGTCAAATTTATTTGGTGTAATGCTACACGCTGCCTTTTATATTTCGGGAGGTCAACGTGGTGCCTTTATGAGCTAATCTCCTTTTGGTGATCCGTCTGTAGGTGGACATGAACTCAGCCTTACCACTGGGAATGCTGGTGGACGATTGGCATGTGGTAAGAAAGAACTCTTTTCTCTTCTTCCCCAGCTGCTCTCTCTTCCTTCTGGTGTAATTTTCTAATCTATTATTATTCTTGCTAAATTAAAGGCCAAATTAGTGAAACTTAGCCCGATATTGCTTTAGTCCTAGTTGCATGGTGTTCGTAATGGTTAAGGTTAGACTTAAGAGCTTATTTTGCAAGTGTTCCTTGTCTAAAACTCTATGAGCCAGGAGACGGATGCTCAATTTATTTTTCTTCCAAAAGGCAGCCTATTTATAGTTGCTTTTGGTAATTATAACTGTTAAACATGATGGATTTTCTTCTTTCCTTTTCCTTTCTTTGGGACGAAGGGTTGTGCAAAGCTCTTATATGCTTCGGTCTTGTGCTTTTCCTTATGCTGTCTACTATATATGTTAAACCTTTGTTTTAGCTGTGTTGGTCTTATGCTTTTCCTTATGCTGTCTACTATATATGTTAAACCTTTATTTTAGCCGTGTTCTTCATTTCGCCCTTATCTGGTTCCCTCAGGTGGTGTTAGCTAACACTCTGTCACAAGCACAGGGTATCAGTTGTGTTAAGCACTCCTAAGCATTTAAATCTGTTTTCTGAATAATGCTTACTAGACTTGCTCATTGTTCAGAGAGTCCTTTCTAGAGTTACTCATTGTCTGTTGAAACCTATCTATTCTAAACCTGTGACCAAACTGGCATTTGATTTGGTTAGATGCAACTGCAGTACTGCACTGCATGACTCTTTTAGCTATTAATTAGTAGGATAATTATACTTATCAAAGAAGAACAACATGAAAAGCTCCAGTAACTGTAGAAAGATAGCTCTAGACAGATTTTTCTGAGTTTCTCGTTGCCAATTACGTCATTTATTGTTTCGTAGCTAGGATTTTGATTTTCACTTCCTTCAACTAGACTAGTAAAAACTCTATGGTCTTACAAACTGAACCAAAAGTAAGACAAGTTCTTCTTCTGGTGCTTATCATTGCATTGAGTGGTGACACTTTGTTTTGTTGATGTCCTTTTCTGTATTGCTAGTTTATATGAAAGCTTTATCTATGTATTCTCTCGCTCTGTCACTGTCTGTATCTCTCTCTCTCCCCTCCCCCATTTCTAACATAGCAACATTTACACAGAGAACTTTATATGCAGCATTATTCATGAAATAATTTCTTTGTCCTTCGCTTGCATTATGGAAATGAAAATTTTAGGTAGAAAAGTAATGGATGAACTCCAAGAGTTGGCATTAACATTTTGGGCATCAAATTCCTGTGGAACCAACTCATTCCTTGGTCTTGTTTCCTTCTACTAGATACACAAACCATTTTTTTTTTTATGTAACTGTAGTTTTGTAGAGTATTGGTCATTTCTAGTTAATAAATGGAAGAATCAGAGTATACCCCTTTTCATGAAGAAACTACTTCTAGGGCCTCTTAACTTCCAGCCTTGTCTTTAATATTTTATTTTTTGCTTTAAAAAATATATGTGTGTGTGAATAAACTTTGGGTCTTGGCACCCAAAATGTCAGCCAATAGAAGTATAAAACAAGGCTGGTCGGTACTGAGGCTGCTCAAAAAAGCTGTTGTTTCTGGGCTGATCTCAAGTTTGAATAGAAGGAAAACGAACCCACCTAAGAAGGAAATTATACTAATTAGACAGTTGGTGACCAAATTACGAGATCTACATAGGAAAAAGAATGTGAGATACATGATAGAAGTAGCTTCATGCTAACTCAGCGTCTGCAGCAATTTTGACTTTTCTAGAGAGCATCAGATCAACCGTTGACAGCTAGGATACTTTTTACACATATATATATTTGTGGCTGCTTTCGCTTGGAAATTCTATGCCCTTTTATGTTTTTCTTTTTGCCGAGTAGTTCATCCCCCCCGCGTTAACCGAGTCCGATTTATTTTGACTGAACCTTAGTTTTAGATGACCGAAAAGCCTCTAGTTCAATCAGTTACCTGTGCGGGGTTTACTTGTCATTGGTCTACGTACAGACTTTTGTACATTATTGCCGTAACTGTAAAAAATGGACTTTGAGGTTATGTGGTTTTTGTCTGGCTTGGATATGTTGAGAGGAAGACTTAACTGCAAGAAATTATGAGTAGTCTCATAGATTTTCCACTTTGACTGGTAATTTCATTCAAAGTTGAGATCTTTATATCTTTGTATTCCTTAAACGAGGACGTATTCTCGTGTACTTTCTTTTTGCTATTTCATACTATTATAGATCCGCTGGTTATTTTTCTCTTGAGAGCTTTGCCATCTGTGAGGCCCCTTTTATATTCTTCGAATTTTATTCACTTTGAATCGTCTGAATGCTATGTATATAGATGCTCCCAAAAATACATTTAGGCTAATGTTCATTATAAATTTTTCCTATGCAGGCATACTTGGTTTGACTCCAATATGAAGTTAAGGTAACAACTCTTTGGTAGGAACTATAATTGAGTGTTATATCCTCCCCAGTTTGCCAAATGAGGCGCAACACTTTTTTCTTCAATAATACACTGGAATTAAGTCGCTATTTTAGCATCCCTTGAGTTTTGGCTATCAAAAATAATTCTTGGATTATATATAGCCCCATTCATGATTTTCTTTATACTAGTTTCTCGGCAATAAGTATAATGTTCTTTATATAATTGTGATGTCCAATCCCAGCTGGTTCATTAATACTTCATCTTTCACAAAAGAAAGAAATTGGGTAAAATAGTGCAAACACAAATTAAAATTCATCATTACCATTGTGGATTAAAAGATTCACAAGCGGGCATTACCTATTAAATTAAGCTTTTAATGTATGATGCATCTAGAGTGCATTAACATTATAAGCACTACCAAATAATAGATATATCTACTAAATTGGATCACCAAAATGCTTATTTAGAGTACAGTTAAACATTTTTCTTCGGGGATTTTTTCATGTATCCTCCTAAGAATCCTTTTTCCTTTACCTTTCTATTTATATTGCTGCAAAAGTATTATTAGAAACAATTCTTGATTCAGCTAACCAAAGTAGTTAGGACTTAGGCCCTTGTTTAAAATACAAAATTAAAAGCATTTTATAATTCTTTCACATTCCAATGACTGAAAAATACGACTCTTATATAGAAAAAACGCAACTTCCTTGCAAACAAAATGTCATGGGCTGCTTTCCATCATCGACCCATGACCCCTTTGACGCGCCCCATGGCGTCCTGGCAAGCCACCCAACGCCTAGTGCCACGATCGGCCTCGTGGTTTTGGTAGCGCCAAGTGACAAGCGCGCATGCGCCTCTGTCGCCCCACCGATAATCAGTGCCAGCGTCCAGCGGCTGGCAAGTGCCAACAGTGCCGCGCACACAAACCATCATGTTGCCAACAGCGCCGCACGCACAGACAGTGTTACGCGCGCAGACCCTGATGCTCAAGACAAAGTTGCTGCCATCGGACTAGCTTCCACCTTGTAGAAGACTAAGTCTTTTTCATTGTAATTATAGAGTAGTTTTACTTCACTTATTTTCAGTGTGCTTCTATAGCTTTCATAGGTCAACTCATGTAACTTTGGTTTATTTTTTTTAAGCATTATTAAGGGGGATCAAAGCATTCAAACATTCAAGCATTCAAATAATTCTCTGTACTGGTGTCTCTCCCTCCCGACACCGCATAGCATCTTGTAATAGCTTTCATCATCATCAATACAATCATTAGCTTTCATCATCAATTGCTCATTTTTCGCTGCTCAATTGCTCACGATATTGGTTTTTCCGTACGACACTGACAATCTAGTCTAGCATACGGAGGGGACCTCAGTTGGCGCTTAGCAACCGCACTAACATCGGTTGCTTAGCCTTACGTCGCCCTTCTAAGGAACTTCAGGAAGGCGCCGCGTAACAGTTGGTATCAGAGCGTAGGCTCGACATTGGACGAGGGAACTCATTGCCATCATCATCACCATTTCTGACCATGGTGAATTATGGGGATCGCATCACGGTCCTCGAAGAGACGGTTGACGTACTACGACCCATTGTAGATACGGTGCCTGGTCTAAAAACCAACCTAGTGCAAAGGTTAGACGACCTGGACCGCTGAATACGGTAGGCCAAAGTTGACATAGCAAACATCAGTAGCGACTCTGAGGAAGACCGGCAAACGGCTGCCGTCGAGGCAACCAAAATTCATGGCAAATTCGAGGACCTCCAACAGGAGCATGCCGAGGATTTAGCCCATCGGGAACTAGAGGCAGACGGACTGACCGTCATGCAGCAAACCATAGACAACTTGACAGGCCAGCTCAATGTTGTTAATGCTGCCCTTCAAAGCCTGCTCAAAGGAGGCGAAAACCAAATCAGGGGTGCCATGAACATTGCCCCCATGCCACAAAAGCTGAAAATTAAGGAGCCCAAGCCCTACAACGGAGCCCGGGATGCTAAAGAAGTGGAAAACTTCATTTTCGACATCGAACAATACTTCGATGCTGTTGGACAGTTGGAAGAATCCAAAAAGGTAGGAACTGCTGCCATGTATCTTCAAGGCGATGCAAAACTTTGGTGACGAGTCAAATACGAAGCCATCAGGGCCGGTGAAGATACTCTCAACACATGGGCAAAACTGAAGGCAGCCATACGCCTGCAGTTCTTCCCCGAAAACGTGGAATACAATGCACGGAGAAAGTTGTGTGAACTCCGCCATACCAGGTCGGTGCGGGACTACGTGCGTGAATTCTCCGCACTCATGCTAAACATACGGGATATGGGGGACAAAGACAAACTGTTCGCATTCATAAAAGGTTTGAAACCTCATGCTCGTATGGAGCTGCAAAGACAAAGGGTGGATACCCTGCCCAAGGCCATTCAAGCTGCAGAGTGCCTTGGGGATTATCACATGGAAACTCAGAAGGATAGGCCCCAACCGCCTATCCGAGGGGGATACAACGGGAGCCAGCCTAGCAACGGTGGCCCTAACAGAAGTGGAGGAGATCGAGGTGCATCCAAATCTAAGACTCCTTCCTCAAGCAGCAACAGTGCTACATCAGTCAACAACAATCAGGGAAGAAAGCCCCCTTCAGAATGTCGTCATTGCGGCGGTGAACATTGGAACAATCAATGTCCCAATACACAGATCAATGCTCAACAGACTGGTGAAAATGAGTCAGATACTGACGACTCAGACGGCCCCGAACAAGTAGGTGCCTTCAACGCATTTGTTGGCTCCATTCATAATACCTTGGCGGGAACCAGTGCTGGTAACCCCAAGAAGAACGCATGCCCAATCGTAAAGAAAGGGAAAGGAAAGGCGGACGAGAGGCCTCCCACAGCACAAAAGAGGACCTTAATGTTCGTTGACATGAAAGTAAACGGCAGACCTATTCGAGCATTGATAGACACGGGTGCTACCCACAACTACCTGGCCTCGACTCAGGTGCAACGCCTCGGTCTAGCATTGCAAAAATATAAGGGTCATGTCAAGGCTATCAACTCTCCATCTCGGCCAGTGAGTGGAATAGCCAAAGAAGTGCCAATGAAGCTTGGCCCATACAAGGAAATATTCGACCTACGCATAGCTATCATCGATGACTTCGAACTGATAGTGGGATTGGAATTCCTCAGGCAAACCAACACCATCCCGGTGCCATATGCCAACATGCTCCTAATGATGGGAGACAACAGGGCCAAACCCCGCACCATACCATGCATACCCATAAAGATGGCCACTGAAAACATCTCGGCCATACGAGCAAAGAAGGGAGTCAAAATACAAGAACCTATGGTTCCGGCTGCCCTCAACATCATCAAACAAACATTAGATCATCGGCGTCCAACAGCTCATGGCGCCCCTCATTGTGTGAAGATTTGTCAAGCATTCCAAAAGGACAAGTCAGATCACTCAGCACAAGCGGGACTCTTGGAGCCGCTACCTGTCCCACAGAGACCTTGGAAAAGCATTTCCCTGAATTTCATCACAGGATTACCCAAGGTCGGAAATCATGCAACCATCATGGTAGTAGTAGACCAATTTTCCAAGTATGCTGCCTTCATCGCAGCCCCACAGAACATATCGGCAGAAAATACAACTCGACTCTTCTTCTCTCATATTGTCAAATATTGGGGCATGCCCAACAACATCATTAGTGACTGCGACTCACGCTTCACTAGCAAGTTTTGGACCCATCTATTCAGGTGCCTCGGATCCAAATTGAGTCATAACTCCAACTTCCATTAACAAGCAGATGGCCAGCCAGACCGGTTCAATGACATGTTGGAGGAATATCTCCGCCAATTTGCAACCGGGTCACAAACACATTGGGTGAAGCTTCTGGATGCTGCTCAGCTGTGTTTCAATTCACAAAAGTGCGCCCATACAAATAAAAGCGCTTTTGAAATTGTTACCGGACAACAACTGCTACTCCCATAAACGGTGAATGCACCAAACATGCCAACATCTCCTCGAGCTGCCAGTTTTTCGACAGAATGGGAGCAAACTTTGAAGATAGTGCGGAGCTATCTTGTCAAAGACCAAGAGAGGGCAACGAGGTATGCCGAACAAAACCTTCGCTTTGCCCAACATCAAGCAGGGTACAAAGTGATGGTAAGATCCCCGAGGCAGAACTTGTTTGCAAAGAGGACCCAAGATCCTCGCCTATTGCAAAGATACATCGGGCCTTTTTCCATTGAAAGGCGCATCGGGAAATCCAAATACCAGCCTGGTGAAAAATCCATCCAGTCTTCCATGTCAGCCGCCTCAGAGCATTTCAGAAATACATGGAAGATCATTCAGAAAACCACCTCACAACACCGAGGGGAACAGACCTCCCAACCATCAAGAGCCTGGCCAATCACCATCATCCTGCAGGTAAGGCTCCGAGGACGTCGCCAACTCTGGTGGGGGAGAATGTCATGGGCTGCTTTCCATCATCGACCCATAACCCCTTGGACGCACCCCGTGGCGTCCTGGCAAGCCTCCCAATGCCTAGCGCCACGGTTGGCCCCATGATCTCGGCAACGCCAAGTGACAAGCGCGCATGCGCCTCTGTCGCCCCACCGATAATCAGTGCCAGCGCCCAACGGCTGGCAAGTGCCAACAGTGTCGCGCGCACCGACAATGCCGCGCGCACCGATAATGCCGCGCACACAAACCATCATGTTGCTAATAGCGCCGCACGCACAGACAGTGCCCCGCGCGCAGATCCAATTCCAAGCACCAGCGCCCAGCCGCTGGCAGATCCAACTAGTGCCGCGCGCGCCAACAGCAATGCGCGCGCAGACCCTGATGCTCAAGACAAAGTTGCTGCCATCGGACTAGCTTCCACCTTGTAGAAGACTAAGTCCTTTTCATTGTAATTATAAAGTAGTTTTACTTCACTTATTTTCAGTGTGCTTCTACAACTTTCATAGGTCAACTCATGTAACTTTGGTTTATTTTTTTTTAAGCATTATTAAGGGGGACCAAAGCATTCAAACATTCAAACAATTCTCTGTACTGGTGTCTCTCCCCCCCGACACCGCATAGCATCTTGTAATAGCTTTCATCATCATCAATACAATCATCAACTTTCATCATCAATTGCTCATTTTCCGCTGCTCAATTGCTCACGATATTGTTTTTCCCGTACGACACTGACAA